GATTACTATGTGTCTCAGTGTGTTTCTCCTTGGGCTTATCCTGCCTTGAACTCTCTGCACTTCCTGGACTTGGCTGGCTATTTCCTTTCCCATGTTAGGGGAAGTTTTCGACTATAATTTCTTCAAATATTTTCTCGGGTCCTCTCTCTCTCCTCTCCTTCTGGGACCCTAATAATGCAAATATTGTTGCATTTAATGTTGTCCCAGAAGTCTCTTAGGCTGTCTTCATTTCTTTTCATTCTTTTTTTCTTTTTCTGTTCCACAGCAGTGAATTCCACCATTCTGTCTTCCAGGTCACTTATCTGTTTTTCTTCCTCAGTTATTCTGCTATTGATTCATCCTAGTGTTTTCATTTCAGTATTGTATTGTTCATCTCTGTTTGTTCTTTAATTCTAAGTGTTTGTTCTTTAATTCTTCTAGGTCTTTGTTAAACATTTTTTGCATCTTCTCCATCTTTGCCTCCTTTCTTTTTCTGAGGTCCTGGATCATATTCACTATCATTCTGAATTCTTTATCTGGAAGGTTTCCTTTCTCCACTTCATTTAGTTGTTTTTCTGGGGTTTTATCTTGTTCCTTCATCTGGTACAAAGCCCTCTGCCTTTTCATCTTGTCTGTCTTTCTGTGAATGTGGTTTTTGTTCCACAGGCTGCAAGATTGTAGTTCTTCTTGCTTCTGCTGTCTGCCCTCTGGTGGATGAGGCTATCTAAGAGACTTGTGCAAGTTTCCTGATGGGAGGGACTGGTGGTGGGTAGAGCTGGGTTTTGCTCTGGTGGGCAGAGCTTGGTAAAACCTTAATCCACTTGTCTGCTGATGGGTGGGGCTGGGTTCCCTCCCTGTTGGTGGTTTAGCCTGTGGCAACCCAACACTGGAGCCTACCTGGGCTCTTTGGTGCAGCTAATGGCAGTCTCTGGCAGGGCTCATGCCAAGGAGTACTTCCCAGATCTTCTGCTGCCAGTGTCATTTTCTCACGGTGAGCCACAGCCACCCCCTGCCTCTCCAAGAGACCCCCCGACAGTAGCAGGTAGGTCTGGTTCAGTCTTCTATGGGGTCACCGCTCCTTCCTCTGGGTCCCAATTCGCACACTTCTTTGTGTGTGTGCCTTCCAAGTGTGGATTCTCTGTTACCCCCAGTCCTGTTGAAGTCCTGCAATCAAATCCCGCTAGCCTTCAAAGTCTGATTCTATTGGAATTCCTCCTCTCATTGCCAGACCCCCAGGTTGGGAAGCCTAACGTGGGACTCAGAACCTTCACTCCAGTGGGTGGACTTATGTGGTATAAGTGTTCTCCAGTTTGTGAGTCACCCACCCAGCAGTTATGGAATTTTATTTTATTGTGATTGTGCCCCTCATACTGTCTCATTGCGGCTTCTCCTTTGTCTTTGGATGTGGGATACCTTTTTTGGTGAGTTCCAGTGTCTTGCTGTCGATGATTGTTCAGCAGGTAGTTGTGGTTCTGGTGCTCTCACAAGAGGGAGTGAGTGTATGTCCTCTACTCCACCATGTTGAGCCAATCTCCTCTACTAGTTTTATAGTTTTATGTTTTATAATACATTTAGGTCTCTGATCCCTTTTGAGTTAATTTTTGTCAAATGTGAAAGATCATCTCTAGTTTCATTTTTTGCATGTGGCTGTCCAGTTGTTCTATTGCCATTTGTTGATAAGATTATCTTTGCTCCATTGTATTGCCTTTTCTCCTTTATCAAAGGTCAGTTGACTGTATTTATGGGTCTATTTTTGGCCTCTCTATTCTGTTCCATTGATCAATTTGTCTATTCTTTCACCAATACCACACCATCTTGATTACTGTAGCTCTGTATACGTTTTGAAGTCAGGTAGTGTCAGTTCCTTAACTGTTCTTCTCCTTCGATATTGTGTTGGCTATTTGGGGTCTTTTGTCTCTGCATATAACCTTTAGAATCAGTTTGTTGATGTCCAAAATATAACTTGATGGTATATTGTTTGGTATTTTTGAATCTCTATATCAATTTGGGAAGAAATGACATCTTAATATTGAGTCTTCCTACCAATGAACATGGAATACTTCTCCATTTCTTTAGTTCTTTTTCGATTTTGTTAATCAGAGCTTTGTACATTTCCTCATGTAAACCTTGTACATATTTTGTTATTTTGTACCTAAGTAATTTATTTTGGGGTGCTAATGTAAATGGTATTGTGTTTTTTAATTCAAGTTCCATTTATTCATTGCTGGTATATAGGAAAATAATTGACTTTTGTATATTAACATTGTATCCTGTAACATAATCACTTACAAGTTCCAGGAATTTTTTTTTTATCAATTCTTTTGGATGCTCTATATAGATGACCATGTCATCCTTGAACAAAGACAGTTTTATTTCCCTTTTCTCAGTTTATATACCTTTTATTTCCTGTTCATGAGCTGTTGCATTAGCTATAGCTTCCAGTATAATATTGATTGTGAGTCATGAGAGGGGACATCCTTGCCTTGTACTTGATTTTACTGTGAAAGCTTCAAGTTTCTATTAAATATGGTGTTAGCTATAGGGTTTTCGTAGATGTCCTTTATCAAGTTGGGAAAGTTCCCATCTATTAAAAGAGAGTTTTTATTATAAATAAGTTTTGGATTTTATCAAAAGCTTTTTTCTGCATCTATGATAAGATCATGTGATTTTTCTATTTTAACCTGTTGATGTGATGAATTATATTAATTGATTTTTAAATGTTGAACCAGCCTTGCATACCTGGGATAAATTGCACTTGGTCAGGGTGTATAATTCTTTTTATACATTGCTGGATTTGATTTGCTGCTATTTTGTTTATGATTTTTACATCTATGTTCATGAGAGATATAGGTCCATAGTTTTCTTTTCTTACAATGTCTTTGTCTGGTTTGGTATTAGGGTAATGCTCACTTCATAGAATGAATTATAAAGTCTTTCCTCTGTTCATATCTTCTGGAACACATTGTAGAGAACTGGTAAAATTTCTTCCTAAAATGTTTGGTTGAATTCACCAATGAACCCATCTGGACTTGGTGCTTACTGTTTAGAAGGTAATTAATTCAATTTCTTTAGTAGATTCAGGCCTATTCAGATAGTCTATTTCTTCTTGTGTGAGTTTCAGCAAATTGTGTCTCTCAGGGAATTGGCCAACTTCATCCAGGTTATCAAATGTGTGGGCATAAAGTTGTTGATAGTATTCCTTTATTATTCTTATAATCTAATAACATCACCTCAAAATATGTAGAGCAAAATTTGATCCGAGCTACAAGGGTAAGTATTCAAATCCACAATAAAAGAAAAAGTTTTTTACACAACTTTCATTAACTTATTAGAATAAGGAGACAAGAATTCAGGAAGGATATAGAAGAATCAAATAATATTATAGCACACCTGACCTTTTCCAATGCACATGGATTATTTACAAAAATTGTCCTCTCATGAAGATAGCTGAGAATAGGAAATTAAATAAAATAATTTAAAATGAAGGAAAGCAGACAGCTGCATGCAAAACAATAAAGTTAAAACACACCCTCACACCATACACAGAATTAACTCAAAATGGCTTAAAGACTTAAATATGAGACAGGACACCATAAAACTCCTAGAAAAGAACATATACAAAACATTCTCTGACATAATCATACCAATGTTTTTTTATGTCAGTCTCCCAAGACAATAGAAATAAAAGCAAAAATAAGCAGATGGGACCTAATAAAACTTATAAGCTTTTGTTTTTGCAGTAGAGGAAAACATAAACAAAATGAAAAGACAACCTACAGACTGAGAGAATATATTTGCAAATGATGTGACTGATAAGAGCTTAATCTCCAAAATGTACAAACAACTCTTACAACTCAATAACAACAAAAAAAAACCCCTATCAAAAAATGGGCAGAAGACCTAAAGAGACATTTCTCCAAAAAAGACATACAGATGGCCATTAGGCACATAAAAAGATGCTCATCATCACTAATTATTACAGAAATGCAAATCAAAACTACAATGAGGTACCACCTCACACCAGTCAGAATGGCCATCAGTAAAACGTCTACAAATAACAAAAGCTGGAGGGGATGTGGAGAAAAGGAAACCCTCCTACACTGTTGGTGGGAATACAAATTGATGCAGCCCCTATGAAAAACAGTATGGAGGTTCCTCAGAAAACTAAAAATAGAGTTGCCATATGATCCAGAAATCCCAGTCCTGGGTATATATCCAAACAAAACTATAATTTGAAAAGATACATGCACCCTATGTTTGTAGCAGCGCTATTTACAATAGCCAAGATGTGGAAACAACCTAAGTGTCCATCAATGGATATTATCCAGGTGAATGGATAATGAAGATATGGGGTGTGTGTGTGTGTGTGTGTGTGTGTGTGTGTGTATGTGTATGTATTACTCAGCCATAAAAAAGAAGGAAATAATGGTATTTACAGAAACACAGATGAACCTAGACATTATCATACAAAGCGAAGTAAGTCAGAAAGAGAAAGACAAATACCATATTATATCACTTACACATGGAGTCTAAAATACAACACAAATGAACATATCTACGAAACAGAAACAGACTCACAGATATAGAGAACAGACTTGTGATCGCCAAGGGTGAGGGGGATAGGGAAGGGAAGGATTGGAAATTTGGGATTAGCAGATGCAAACTATTATATACAGAATGGATAAACAACAAGTTCCTATTGTATAGCACAGGGAAATATATTCAGTATCCTGTGATAAACCATAATGAAAACAAATATGAAAAAGAATATGTATGTATAGCTGAATCACTTTGCTATACAGCAGAAATTAACACAACATAGTAAATCAACTATACTTCAATAAAATTTTTAAAAATAAAATGAAGGGAATATAAAGGTAAGAACAGGGCTTAAGGACTCTGTCACATATTCTTGTGTGTATGCTTGTTTTGTTTTGTTCTGTTTTGTTTCATTTTGTTTTTAACAACATTTAAAAATGTAAAAATTATTCTTAGCTTGCTGAGCCAAACAAAAGCAGGCCATGGGTCAGATTTGGCCAGAGAGTTTTCATTTGCTGACTCCTGCAATAGATCATACAGACATTAAAATGATCATAAAAGGATATTATGAAAAACTTCATGCCAATAAACTTAAAAATTCAGATGACATGGACAAAAACACAAGTTACCAAATAAACAGAAGAATAGAAAGCCTAAGTTGTTTTACAACTATCAAAGAAACTAGATTGTTAATGTAATTCCTTTCCACAGAGAATAACAACAGGTCCAGATGGCTTTGCTGGTGAATTCTACCAAACACTTAAACAGACTTTTCTAGAGAACAGTAAACGAGGGACTATTTCCCATCATATTTGAGGGAGCTTAATAACCTTGATATCAAAACATGACAAAAACATCCTGAGAAAGAAAAATTTCAAGCCAATGTCACCCAGAACAGATTGAAAAAAATCCAAATAAAATATTAACAAATAAAATTTAGCAAAATATAAAAATTTGGGTTTATTTCAGGAATACAAAATTGATTGAACAGTTAAAAATCAAGCAATATAATTTATCACATTAATGGAATAAGAGAAAAATCATGACTATCTTAATAAATGGAGAAAATATTGTGATAGAATTCACTATTTATAATAAAGATTCTTAGCAAACTAGAAAGAGAAGGTAATTTCTTTATTTCAAAAACAGTATCAACAAGATAATACACAGCAAGCATTAAGCTTAGTGATGAAATGGTGAAAGCTCTCTTACCTGGAACAAGACAAGTATGTCTGCTATCACCACTCCCATTTAACAATGAACTGAAGGTTCCAGACAGTGCAGAAAGGGAGCTTAGCTATTACAGAAAAAAGAGAGAGAGAGAGAGAGAAGGAAAAAGAGAGAAAGAAAATTGGAGAAGGAGGAAGAGATTGGAGAGGAAGGAATAATACTTTCATTATTCACAGATGATATGTGTGTGTATGTTCATAGAAATTCTGAAGAAGGAATGTAAAATGGTACAGCCACTGTGGAAAACAGTATGGAGGTTCCACACACATAAACATACACGCACACGCACACACACACACACACACACACAAATAGAACTACTGTATGATCTAGCAAATTCTACTTCTGAGTATATATCTGAAGGAAATTAAATCACTGTCTCAAAGAAATACCTGCAGAGTATTGAGTTCCCTGTGCTATACAGTAGGTTCTTATTAGTTATCTATTTTACCTGAAACTAATATAATATTGTATGTTAATTATAATTCAATTAAATAAATAATGTAAATAATTTTAAAATAAGTAAATAAAGAGATATCTTCACCCCCTATTTCATTAAAGCATTATTTGCAATAGCCAAGACATGGAAACAACCTAGGTGTCCATGAAAGGATGAATAAATTTAAAAACGTGAGATATATATATAATTCGGTCATAAAAAAGAAGAAAATCCTGCCACTTGCAACAATATGTATGAACCCTGAAGGCATTATGCTAAGTAAAATAAGTCAGGCAGAGAAAGACAAATACTGTATGATCTCATTTACATATGGAATCTAGAAAAACCAAATTCATAGAAACATAATAGATTGGTGGTTGCCAAGGGGTAGGGTGAGGGACGAATGAAGGTGGTCATTTATAAGATGAATAAATTCTGAGATTATAATCTACATGGTCACTTCAGTTAATAAGATTGTACTGCATATTTGAGAGCAGCTAAGAGAGTCGATCTTAAGAGTTCTCAACACAACACAAAGATTGTAATTATGTGAGGTAATGGTTATGTTAACTAACCTTATTGTGCTAGTCATTTATATATATATATATATTATATATATATATATAGAAAATCACATTTGTACACCTTAAATTTACACAATGTTATATGTCAATTATATTTCAGTAAAGCTAGCGGGGGTAAGAAAGAAATTCCAAAAGAATTACAGGTATTTAGCATTAACAAGAGAGTTCAACACAGTTGCTATTTAAAATACACAAAAGCATTTATTTTCCTATCCCAGGTCATGAAGGCATGTCTCCTATTATCTTCTAGAAGCTTCAGATACACACAAACGCATTTCTTTATATCAGCAATAAACAGCTAGAAAATAAGATTTTTAAACGATACCATTTATAACGAAACTGAAAACATCCAATTACCAAATATCAAATCTAACACAAGATACACAGGACCAGCAGTGTCATGAAAGGGCAGCAAAGACCCGCGAATTGAAGGCTCCGCTGTTTGTGTGCGAGGCGTTTCTTCCCAAAGCAGTTGGAAAGTGAGAGGCGTAAAGAGAAATTTTTAGAAGATAGTTCCAGAATACTGTTGACCAGGAGTGTGGTTCACTTCGACTGGAGCAGTAACTGTTGATCAGCCGTCTCCAGGAGACTGTGGGTCTGAAGCAGTGGCAGGAAAAATCTGGCCCTTGGACCTGGACGAGGTGGAAGCTCTGGAGGAGGTGGACACGCTGGAGCCGGAGGTGGATTTGGAGCAGTTCCTGCTCCCGGGTATCAACCAGATGCTGGAGGACATCACGGAGCTCACCCGAAAAGCCGGGAGCATGTGTCTGAGGACCAGGGGCAAGCTGTGGGAGATGGACCTTCTGCTCATCCGGATAAAAACACAGGTGGAGGCCTCGGAGGATGGCGCCTTGAATGGGCGTCCCGGTGGGGAGGCTGACGACAGAGTATCAGAGTTGTGCGAGAAGGCCAAGAAGATTGAAAAGGTGGCAGAGATGTTGGTCGAGCTGGTCTGGCGGATGGAGAAAAGTGAAGTGTCCTGAAGGAGGGTCTCCAGTTCACTGCTAATGGACTCTGGTCAACTGATAAGAATGGGCCGACATCTCGGGGAAACTAAAACAGCTTGTCATTTTCTCTGTTTTGTTTTGTTTTGTATGTTTTTTAACCCCCATGTAACAATCTCCCTTAGGGTCAGTGGTTGGTGACCTCCATAGAGGTTTAGATTGTCAAATATATTTGGTTCTTGAAAAACAACTTTTGTTTGAGAAATACTCAAATAAGGGATATGGGGCTAAATCAAAAGTTGTTTTAGTGGTCAGATTTATTTTGTTCCTTTGCTGTGTTTTTTAATTGTTGGGCAAGGCCCAACACTTGCTGTTACCCATGTGACAGCATTGTTTTCTGGAACCTTGGAACATTTGAAGACTTGGGGTCAGAATCTCCCCACTTTAGAGGTGCAGTAGAAGGCACCACTTGGATGTAGCTGATCAAGAATATAGGGATGAGGGACTTCCCTGGTGGTCCAGTGGTTAAGAATCCCCCTTCCAATGCATGGGACATGGGTGTGATCCCTGGGTGGGGAACTAAGATCCCACATGCCTTGGGGCAGCTAAGCCTGCATGCTCTAGAGCCCACAGGCCACAACTAGAGAGCCTGTGTGCCACAACTACTGAACCTGAGAGCTCTGGAGCCAGTGTGCCACAACTAAAGAGAAGCCCGTGTGCTGCAATGAAGAGCCTGCATGCTGTGACTAAGACCAAGTGCAGCCAAATAAGTAAATAAATATTTTTTTAAAAAACAAGAATGTAGGGGTGAGACTGCTTTGGAAAGACTGGGAAGAACTAGAGGATGGTTGGAGATGGAAGATGGGTCTGCATATATTTTGGAACTTTAATTCTTCTGTGAGGCAAAAGAGGAGAGCTGTGTTTTGTGGCAGATTGTCTTGTGTATATTGTGTAACCTGACAGGTGACCCTGAATGACAAGGAAGCTGGAATAGGGAATGGTGGGAGTACAGTTGACCAACTAATACCCCCCCAGATTACAGGGGTTTCAGAGTATCGCATCAAAAAGACGATCTACAAAGAGCTTTGAGAGGCTGGAGAACAGAGAAGGCATCATGAGGGCCCACAAAGTCCTTTCTAGTTCATCAGGGTAGTAGACCTGACTGGGATTTGAGGACAAAATCAAACATCTAATAAGTGGTCATTTGCCTTGAAAAACAAAGACCTAAAAAACCTTTTTTAAAAAATAATTTTTTTGGTCCAGATGACCAAAGCCTCTATGTGTAATAGAAAAATAATAAATAGATTTCTTTTGAAATGGAAAAAAATTTTTTTTAAAAAAGACCAGCACCTGGGGCAGGAGGAGCTGCAGGTGCAGCGCATGGGGGTTGAGGCAGGGGGGAGGGGAGCTGGGGCCCCTAGGGCCGCAGTGGCAGCAGTTGGGGACCGCCCCCAGCTCAGGAAGGGGGCCAGGAGACCCTTCCCTTGCCAGTGGCAGTCATGAACTCCAAGGTGGGGAACCTGCCCCCATCCTCCATCATCCATTTGGTGTACAGGAGGTGATGACGCTGACAGCTGACCCACCTGATGGCATCAAGGTCTTTTCCAACGAGGAGGACCTCGCAGACCTGCAAGTCACCATCAAGAACCCCAAGGGGACCCCGGCGCTGGAAGCCTATTCCATATGAAACTCCTGTTGGGGAAGGACCATCCTGCCTCCCCACCCAAGGGTACTCGTTGACCAAGATCTTCCATCCGAAGGTGGACGCCAACGGTGAGACCTGTGTCAACATGCTCAAGAGGAACTGGACACCAGCTGGGCATCCGGCATGTGCTGCTGACCATTGAGGGCCTGCCAATCCACCCTGACCCGGAGTCCACCCTCGGCGAGGAGGCTGGCCTCCTGCTCTTGGAAAATTAGGAGAAGTAGTATGGCTCACAGAGATCCCTCGGGGCACAGGCTGGCTGAGGCCTCCACTGCCGACCCCATGGCCCCTGGGGGCCTGGGAGGGGGCAAGGGTCCCATAACCAAGAAGCACACGCCTCCCCCCTCTCTGTCCCACCCGCCCCCCCTACCCCGCACCCGCCCACCCCGGCCCCAACTCTGTCTCTAAGTTATTTAAATTATGGCTGGGTGGGGGATGGCATGGGGGCACTGGGACCTGGATTTGTTTTTCTAAATACAGTTGGAAAAGCAAAAACAAATAAACAAACAAACAAAAAAACTACAGAAATCTGTAAAACATTACCACGAGACATTAAAGAAGACCAAATTAAATGGAGAGACATACCATGTCAATGAGTATAAAGATTTGCTAATATAACAATGTCAATTTTCTTCAAACAATTCTATAGATTCAGGGCTATCGGAGTAAAACCCCAATCAGTTTTTAAATTTGGTTTATGGGTGTATTTATCATATTAAGTGTATGTTGATGTTTATGTGTGTGTATTTGTTTTGTTGTTGTTATGGAATTCGCAAGCTGATTCTAGAAAATATATTAAAATGCAGTGGCCTAGCCTGATTCCAAAATGGAAATCAATGGAAAGGCAATGGACTAAGAATAGTGAGTGTAGTCTTGAAGAAGTTCATGGTGCGAGAACTTACTCTACAAGACATTGATAATTTCCCTGATGTGACAGTAATTGAGACAATATCATATTAATGAAAGGATAGACAAATAAAATAATGGGATAAAATCAAGACTGTGCATATATAGATTCCTGAATGACTAAGATGACACTTCCGAACCTTAGGCAAAGCATAACTTTACAATAAATGTTGTTGAGAATATTGGCTATCCCAATAGGGGGTTGCTGGGCGTGGGGGCAGGTGAAAATGGACCTTGAACTCAATTACATACGATTCAGAAAAAACAGCTCCAGATGGATTGCAAGCTTAAATGTGAAATACAGAACCCTGAAGCTTCTAGAAGATAAGATAGGAGAATATTTTCATGACCTACAGTAGGAAAAGACTTTATAAACAAGACACCAAAAGCGTAAAGGAAAGATTTATAAATTTTACTGTATTAAGTTCATCAAGACACCAATAAGAAAGTACAAAGTAAGCCACAGAGTGAGGGACAATATTTTGAATCACCTAAACAATCCTGCGATCAACAACAACAACAGTAATAAAGTCTGGCAACCAAAAAGGAAAATGGGCAAGAGATTTGAACAGCAACTTCACAGAATATGAGCGCCAATAGCCAATGAATATATGAACATGTGAAAGGAACTCAACTCAGGGGAAACGTAAACTAACACTAAGTGAGATAACACTACTGTGATAAATATATATTTGGTCTCTGCCCTCAGTTCCTGACACAGAGTTCCTAAAACCCTTGTAATTTCCTGAATAATAGGAATAACAGGAGCATTTTTTGTTATAATATTTGGACTAAGTCCCTGGTTCCTGACACAAGAGTTTCTAAGACCCTTGGAATCTCCAGAGTGATAGGAACATTTTATCACACGCTAATGAAAAGACTGTCACTGGGGTCCCTGGATAGCTTCATGATGGGAGCTAGTCCCCAGAAAGACCAAGGCATGATTAGAAACTTAGAAATTTCAGTCCCACCTCCGCTGACCTCCAGGGAGGGGAGAGAGACTGGAGTTTGAATTAATCACCAATGGCCAGTAATTTAATCAGTGATGCCTATGTAATAAACTTCCATTAAAAACCCTAAACAGAAGGGTTCAGAGAGCTCCCAGGTTGGTGGACAAATGACGGTGCTGGGAAGGTGGCACACCCAGAGAGGACATGGAAGGTCCACACCCCTTTCCCACACCTTGCCCTACGTACCTCTTCATCTGGCTGTTCATTGTATCCTTTATAACATCCTTTATAATGAACTGGTAATAGTAAATAAAGTGTTTGCCTAGGTTCTGTGAGCCACTATAGCAAATTACCAAACCTGATCAGGGGGGTTGTTGGAACCCCCAATTTTTAGCCAAGTAAGACGAAGTATGGATAACCTGGGACCTTCTACTTGCAATTAGCATCCGAAGTGGGGGCAGTGTTGTGGGACTGAGCCCTTAAGCTGTAGGATCTGTACTAAATCCAGGTAGTAGTGTCAGAATTGAATTAAATTGTATAACATCCAGTGGGTGTCCACAGAGAATTAGAGAATTTCTTGGTTTGGAAAAGCCACATATTTGGTGTTAGAGGAGTTGTGAGTAGAGAAAATTTTCCTTTAACTAGAAAACCTATCAAAACAGCTAAAATTCAAAAGACTGATGATACTAATCATTGAGGCAAGTAGAGAGCAGCCGGAACCCTCATTCACTGCTGCTTGACAAGTGTATTAGTACAGCCCCCTTAGAAAAGGGATTGGCAGTAGCAGCAGAGCTGACTACAAGCACACCCTAGGACCCAGCATTTCCACTCCTAGGAAGAGAGAAAAGAGAAATGTGTGTACATGTGCACCAATAGACAGTAGAATAGTGTTCTTAACAGTACTATTTTCGGGGGGCTCAAACTGGAAATACCCAAATGCACACTAAGAGTAAAAAATATAAATAAATTTTAGATATATACAATCGAAGACTATAAAAGAGTGGAAATGAACCAACTACAGCTACAATCAGATCCTGGGTAAATTTCACAAATATCTTGAGCAGAAAAAAGCCGGTCATGAAAGCAGTTATACTGTAGGATTCCATTTACTATAAAATTCAAAACAGAGCTACAGAGTTTGGGGATACACTGGAACTGTAAAGCAGGCAAGGAAGTGATTACCATAATTGCCAGGAGGAGATGAAGGGGACGTGAGAGAGGCTTTGGAAGCGTCGGCAAGATTGTTTCTTGATCTGAGTGGTGTTTACATGAGGGTTTGCTTTGTGATAAATCATTAGGGCACACATTTTTGTTTCATATATATATATATATATATATATTTTTTTTTTTTTTTGCAGTACGTGGGCCTCTCACTGTTGTGGCCTCTCCCGTTGCGGAGAACAGCCTCCGGACGCGCAGGCTCAGCGGCCATGGCTCACGGGCCCAGCCGCTCCGCGGCATGTGGGATCTTCCAGGACCGGGGCACGAACCCGTGTCCCCTGCGTCGGCAGGCAGACTCT